GAGAGAGAGAGAGAGAGAGAGAGAGAGAGAGACGGAGAGAGAGATATTGTGCGTGCACGGTTGTGTTTGTTGTTGTTTGTGCCTTTCCACTGTGTGCTTTGTATCAATTGTTCATTACTTCGCTCGCGCCGCTGGGCCTCTCCTACAGTGTGACTTTACCCTAAGGTCGTTTGAACATGTGTGAAATCCTTTGGTTCATTCATAGTGGTAGTGTGGTGGCTCCCAGCTCAACCAACTACAGTCGAACCTGTGAAAGACGACCACCCATTGTCAAGGAGAAAAGTGGCTGTATAAGACAGGTGGCCGTCTTAGGCAGGACTGATCAAGATGAAGAAAACAAACCATTCCTTTCTGAGAAAACAAACCCTCCCTTTCTCAGGTCCCAACCGAAGGTATTTGCATTGTTGTTGTTGTTTTCGCTGGGTTTTCTTTTCTTTTACTGCTGCTTTTGTGCACGGGTGACAATAAAACGAAATGTGTCAGACAAGGAGGATCAAGTGCTAGCCTATGGTAAAACAAACACACGTACTACCACTCGGAGAGCGAGCGACGCTTCTGTCACAAGTTCATGCTGACGTCCATTGTTAATTTGTTACAGACTGGGTAAACAGTGACCATTCATCTCACTTGCGATTTGTGTATGGGTTCTGGGCGGGGCTTATGGGTTATGAAGGATCACACGCTTCCCTCCCCAGTAGCTGAAAATTAATTTTGTTACCTATTGGTCAACAGTGGGAGGGGCCTACGCAACATGATCAGTTGGAGGGACAACCTAACAACGACAGGTGATTGAATTGATTTATGACAAAGCGTAATGGAGTCACTAAGGTGGCCGTCTAAGACAGGTGTTATTGCTTTGTGTGATAGGGGTTGTGTGTGTAAATATGGTGGCCGCGGCCGCGTTGGACAAAATGCCCGTTTTACACAGTTAAATTATATCGAAAAAACGCCAGGGGGGGAATGGAAAGTGTCCGTTTGCCGTTTGTACAGGTGACTGTCTTATAGAGGTGGCCGTCAGGGCAGGTTCGACTGTATCTCTATGTTACATATTGTGTTTTTCCTGTCTTTGGATTATGTACCCTACAAGGTAGGGCTTGAAAAATAGTCTATAGACTCATTATGTTGCTCCTCTCCACGGAAATCTTTAGTAAAAGGCGAAAGATTTATTCGTTGTGAAGAGAAACCAGAGTACTGAAATATGGGATTTCGATGGAACTGACCATTTTGCTTTGGATTTCTGGTGTAGCTTTAGCTATTTACATATCAAGTTTGTTCAGTTGCATTTATAACTATTCTAAAAGCAGAAGAATGTTAATTTGTTGAAAATTAAATGCACATTGTA